CTTGGCAATAATGAAGACAATTAGTTTTGAAGTGCTGCATTATATTCTATAAAATGAGAACTGCAGTATTTTTTCTCCAAATAGTCACATGCTGGAGACAGAGTGGCAATAAAGCATCTTTATAAAGTATTTTTTCAATTTATAATAAGTGTGAAAGAGGTATGAACATTATCCAGGAATAAGGCTGTGACATTGTGGAAAGTTTTAGCACACCTGTTACATTGTGCAAAAGTACATTATCTGGAATTCTTCCCAGGACTGTGTCCCCACCGCCTTAAATGTCACCGGGGGAAAAAACCTTCTTCCCCAGGACCTTGCACTATCTCCTACTATCTCACTGCAGTGCTAGCAGTAGATGAATTTGCTGTGGCCAACAGGTCTTCCAGCTGTGATTCCTGACAGAAATAAAGCTGAGGGAGATAAATCAAGTGCTGGGAAGACACCTCCGGGGAGGGATTAAATACATGAGTTTACAACTAGAATAAGAGATTTCAGAGGCCTGGTAGTGTGGCAATAGGTTTATCTTGCTCCAAAGGCATCTTTTGCAGAAGGACAAGTGACATTCTTAAAACAACTGCAACTACAAAAGCCAATGCACCCTTTAGAGCAAATAATTATTTATTTCTGAGGTATTTTTTTGACCTTTTCTTGTTCTCTGCTTTCTGAACTTGTAACTGAATGATGGACCTAACCTAACCTCTACTCAAAAGTGTATAGCTTTTCTTCCTGGTACTTTGTGTTGTAGAAATCTCATAAAGTGCATATCTTATACTCTTCTGCTATTTCTTATAATGTTTATAGAGTTGAAAAAAATTTCACTGATACAAAAAATTACAAAAGCAGAGTAAGCACTATTTAAAGGTATTTCATTTATGTTTCATGAATAATTTATATGCATTTTTATAAACAAAAGGGGTATAGTCCATATTAAATAAATAGTTGTTTAAAGTTCAGAATATAACTATAAAGTATATGTAAAAATTTATATTAAATTATACTTGTCAACCAACCTTGGTGAGTTATATAATTATTGTCTTACTAAATATGCGGTTTCTATATTACCAATACACAGACCTCGGTCTGTTTTCATAATACAGTTTTTAGATGCAATCTTAATGAGTAGGTTTGCTGAACTGTAGAGCACTATCAATGGTACAGGAAAGGTTGCATACAGATAATTATAAGAATACCATCAGTACCAGTTTCCTTCCTCCTCTACCATCTCTTCCCCCTTGCTCCCACCTAACACCCAAAGAAGTTATGAGCCTGCAAAAGGAAAAGCAATTATACAGAAGGATTATATGCTATATGGGGAATTCAGAATCATGGCTAGTATCAAAATGGTTGAGACAAAAGCAACAAGTGTGACAATCTGCACTACAATTCTTCCCACCATCAACTGTATTTTTCAAGTTCAGATATCCTCCCGTAGGCTTCAACAGTTGAAATAAAGCATGTATTACAGTTCTTGATAATATATGTTAACTTTATGTATTATGAATATGTACATTGTCTTCCTTTTCTGAACTTGCAGTTTATTTAATTACAGACTGCTGGCTTTGCGTATCAAACTGCAGAGGTGAGTGTGTTCTTCTGTTTAGAGAATTACAGACTGGGCTTAATTTACTTCAGTTTGGTATTTCATGACCTAAAATGTGTGAATTTCTTCCACTTAATTTTAAAGTATTCCTGTTGAACAATGTATCTTTTCTGACCCTTTATTAAATTATCTGTAGTCTTTTAAAAGAATAGAGGCGAAGTGGGTTTCATTCTTGCAATACATGGTTTTAAGGTATCCTTATGAACATCCAATATAAACTTGTCTGACAGTTTCAAACTTCATTATATGATAACTAGTTGAGAACAGTACCAGTATTGTGGTTTAATCCCAGCTGGTAACTAAGCACCACACAGCCAATCACTCACCTTTCCTGATGGGATGGGTGAGAAAATCAGAAAAATAAAAAAAATCATGGATTGAGACAAAAACGGATTAATAGGTAAAGCAAAAGCCATGCACACATGCAAAGTAAAACAAAGAATTCACTTTCCATGGTCAGGCAGGTGTTCAGTCACCCCTAGGAAAGCCGGGCTCCATCACACATAACAGTGATTTGGGAAGACAAATGCCATCACTCCAAACGTCCTCCTCTTCCTTTTTATTCCCTGGGATTTATATGCACAGCATGATGTTGCATGGTATGTTTGGTCAGTTTAGGTCAGCTGTCCTGGCTGTGGCCCCTCCCAACAGCTTGTGCACCCTCAGCCTCCTTACTGTCATGGCATTATGAGGAGCAGAAAAGGCCTTGATGCTGTGTAATCACTGCTCATCAGTAAAGAAAACATCTTGCGTTATCAATGCTATTTCCAGCACAAATACAAAACACGGCCCCATACTAGCTACTGTGAAGGAAATTAACTGTACCCCAGGCAAAACCAGCACATCCAGAAATATGAGTAGCAGCAAAAAACGGATTCCATTTTGAGTCGGTAGAGAATCTAAAATCATGAGCACAAGTTCTGTGGTTATTGTTGAAAATACTGTAGATATTTACTAACCATCAACTGCCTGTAGTGGAAACACTGCCTTCATTCTTCTTTTATCATTTGCTGTCATTCCTATTGTTTGATTCAACCATGTTTTGAATCTGATTTTCATGAATTTAGCAGAGTGAAACATGTAAAAGCTTCATAAAGAGTTTTTGTTGAACTGAGAAACAGATGGAAGTAAGCAAACAATAACAGTGTCAATACGTCAACAAATTATAGGTTGTCTCTTGAGACTATCCCACCGGGCTCAAATTCATTACCTTTACTTACATGGAATAATTACACAGATTTAATTTCACAAGAGGCTACATACAAAGTAGGGTATTAAATGCTACTAATGAATGTAGAATCAGGCCCACTGACAGAAACAAGAGTGCAATCATTGCTCTGTGCAAGATTTGCTGAAACGAGCCAAATACTGGTATTCTAAACATACAATCTCTATTTATACACTTGAACTTTACTGGTAACCAATTTTTTAAATCTTACGTGCATACTGCCTATTCAGCTCATGTATTTTGTGAATTATGTATGTTGCTTAAATCCACGTGAAACTGTAAAATCTTTGTGACATGATGAAGGGAAACACATGTGAACAAAATGTTTATGATAGATTTTACACATATATCTTTTATTAACAAAGCACAGGTCTCATTATACATGCAAAGTCTCCAAGATTAGATGACTCAGTTAGGAGATCCTTGGGTTTGATTCATTGCATCAAGAATAATCAATAATAATATCATCAGTTTGCAATATTTTGTAATAGAAGAGTTATTAAAGTAATTATATAATATATTGGGGTTTTTTACAAATGGAAAGTTCTTATGAAAGCTGTACCCAAACTAAGGTGGCTCTTCCAAGCATATAGAAACATCATCCAAGCATGAAGAGAAGGAATAACGAAAGGTAGAGCTTAACTGTAGTTGAATTTGGCAGTGGAAGTGATTGATAAGAAAAGCCTCTATCATCACTTTGCCAAGCCAAAGATAGACTGTAAAAATATGTTCCTACAGGTAGATAACTTTATGACTAAGGCCACAGAAATAGAACAGGTTCTTTCTAGGTTCTTCCTCTTTGTCTTTAGTGATAAACCTCTCCTCAGGCTCCCAGGCCTCAGCCTCAAGTCAGTGTGGCATAGGAGAAACACAACTCACAGCAGAAGAATGAAATAGGGAGCACATAAACAAACTGAACACCTACAAGCCCATGAGATCCACTGGTTTATACCCAAGGTGGTTAGAAGTGCTGGGTGATACCATTGTGAAGTCTTGTTCAAAAGGAAAGTTTCCTCAGGATTGGGAAGAATGAATTATGCCCATCTTCAAGAAAATCAAGAAGAATCTGGGCAAGTATGTATAGTTGTCCTGACCTTAGTCCTGGGGAAAGTAATACATCAAATTTTCTTGGAAACCACATACAATGATAAGAATGACAAGAAGATGTTTGAGAATGGTCGGCGTGGACCCCTACCCCAAACACAAAAAAACAAGTCAAGGTCCCACATTTGAGACCGTCTCTGTCCTACCCCAAAGAAACCACTTTTTTTTCCTCCAAGTATTGTTTTCTCTGTATAAATATATATTTTTTTTTGCTTTCCTCTAAAAACTAGGATGTGCTAAATTTATAAGCTGATGCTGCTATGTGTAAAGTCTATAGTTATTGGACATAGTCCAGTTTACACCAGTGTAACTAAAAGACTTGAGGTTTTTATGGTGATGGATTTTTGTTTACAGTTCAAAAGGGAAAACACAATTTGATTTACAGGGTTTGAAATGATTTATGTAGCATTTTCTGCCTGCTGTAATCAAAATTGAAGAACTTATATTATGATCTGTACACAGTGATCTAAGATCGCATTTATAAGCTTAATATAACATATAATAGAATATTGAACCATCAATCAAGAAATTGAGACACTGGTGACTAACTTATACAAAATGTGAAAGATTCATGACTCAATTGCTGAAGTGGAATTTTTAGGGTACTGTAAATATCAGTGAATTCAGCCTACATTGATGCAAGTTCATAAATTCAGTTTACAAACGCAGAGTCATGTGGAAAAGAGAAATGTAGTATACCATGAGTAAGACATTTCTTTCCTCAGAAACATGATTTTCCTATTTCGTATTTTAACCAAGAATGCATTTCATGACACAAATACTGCCCTGAACAGCACAAGACTGAAAAATCCATTTTAATAGAAGATATTTTTCCATTTGCACTAGAAAATTAAAAATTACTTGTCTCAAAGTTACACACCCTGAACATAAGCTTTACCTTCTGGTACACTATGGGCAAATCAGACGCCAAATCATACCTGACATACACTTCTTATAAATTGTAATTCAAAGGAATTCTGACAGCCTAACTAGCCTTTAATAGTCTAACTAGTCTTTAATTAATCTATGGGTGTTTCTAATAGCTATTGTTTTTCATGGATTAAATGATTAAAAATAGTTTTTTATGTAGCAGCAAAATGTACTATTCCAGGATGCAATAATATGACTTCAGGGTCACTGATTTTTCATTTTTTCTACCTTTTCCTTTCCTCTGAAAGTTTACTTTGTGAGGCACGTGTTATTGATTCCTATGTGTTGGCAGAGGGAGGCTTGGCATTGAAGTAGAACTTCTACATGGTTCTGTAAGATAAAGAATAATTAAAGGTTACTGACAGTGGCAAGTTAGCTGAACCACAGAAAAGTTGTTTGAAATCTTTGCTGGAAGTTCTGTCATGGGGCTGATATTGACATTCAATGGGTCATCATTTTGACTTATCTACAAATGTAGCTTGACTTCTGTCATGCAGAAAAGTATGAGATTGGATATCAACCTTCTTCTACCCCATCTGACCACGGGAAATCACTTTGTAATAGAAAAATGTTAATTAAGTCAGTCTCAGATTCTTTTGTTTAATTCTTTCTTTAGTTTGTCAACCACAAATTCTCAAATTCCAAAACATAAGAAAAATGTTAAATGGGAAGCATAAGACAATTGTCCCTCTAACATTTTTTACTAAGAAAATTAACATTAGAAATCTGTCAGAGTTTTAAGTTTGTTTTCTCTGGATTAAGGGTATACTAATTGGTATATTCTTAAGTGGAAAGGAAATGTTTCATGTTATACTGCTGTAAAGTATCACAGTGTTGGAAAAAGGTAATAAATCCTTATTCTTTTACTGCTGGTACCTTAACTTACTTTTTATTTGGCAGTTCTGCAACAACAGAGAGTTCTTAGATGATCTGCTATGTCATGCCCTCTTATTATAAAAGACAAATAAGAAACTGCAACCCCAAGGGTAAGTGAAAGCAATTTCTAATAAGATATCATATTTATTTAATAAAGTCATGATTATAACTCTATCTAGCATAGTATTAATATTTTACTATGTCTAATAGAACATGAAAAGTTCTGCAGTATTATTAAGAATTTCTTTATACAATTTAAGTATAAAAATATTTTTCATTTTCAAACTAATTATGTATGATGCATGAATAGACTAAGTTGTGTCACCAGGAATAAACATGAGACATGATTTTAATGACAAAATTTTAATATTGTTACAAAAATTAGTTGGGTAATGCAACTTGCTTACTTCAGTCACTGCTGGCTAATGTTTACTTGTTCAGAAACAACATGAATACTAATGTATTACTTTTGATGATTTATTTCAAAAATATTTAGTCATTTCTGATGGCATTTCTCTGAAAGTAATCGACCCTGCAGCTGTTTCCTCTTAAATTAAATACTAAATATTTACATTCCTTGATTCTCTCACACTTATATTTTCACACACATAACAAATTAGTTTCAAGACATAGACAGAATAAAAAATATGAAACTTGTTGAATCAAGGATACCTGTCAGCCTTTGGTAGGGGCATCCAGGTGGTCTTGTGATTACAAAGCAGAACTCAGAAGATACTTCAGATTGACTGCTCTTCCAGAGCTATCATATACTTATTCTGGTATACTCCTAGAAAACTGCCCTTCCTTCAGCAATGACAAAACCTGATATTGAATGTCATACAAAAATATAAGCATGATTTCTGTAGCATATTTGACATACATTAAAACATTATGCAAAGCCATGCTACAATTTCAGCTCTATTCTGTGAAAGAAATAAAACCCAAACCAATTAAATCTTTCACCAAGACGTCCAATCATTGCGGAAAATTTCCAGATTACTACTTAGAGGAGAAAGATTTTCTTTTTCCCTTGGAGTTTATTGTTACAATACATTATTCTGTTTTTTCAACACAATTTTTACACATGCAAAGTTACTCAGTACAGTTGCATTTCTCTCTAACAAACATAGTGAGACAGTCATGTTCATCAGGTATGGCATGTAACAAGTCTTTTTTTTCCCGTTCTGTGCAGCTTGATAGAAGCAATATTATAATTGACTACATAAACATATAATTATGTTCTATTGTCTGCAATTCTGTTGTAGGGACCTTCTTACATCTCTTTGTTAACATGAATAAATAATCATGTTACACTACAGTTAACAAAGAAAAAATACTGCTTTAAGCATAACCCGCGTTCTGCTTTAAACGTAATCTTTATTTTTTAACAGAAAAGAAAATCAGATGTTTTTAAACCTGCTTTTATTTTAGCTTTTAACTTAATTAAAGACTTGTGTTTATATAAAGTAATTAAGCATATCCAGACATATTTTGACTTTTTCAAAGGATGCTGAGAAACCGTAAGTCAGAGATAGTGATGGTATCCCTGAAATATAAAAAAAGCCAACAAGACACAAGAAAATGTAGGGAAAAAAATTCAATGTTTTCATAAATCCTATATCATAAAAATCCCCTAGTTCAATTAACTTTTAACACCCCTTAAATATTTTCCTCTGGAAGGAAAATAAAGTTCGAGGATTAAAAATGAAGTGTACTGGCAAAAATATGTGTGGTATATGAAAGGCAATCAACCTGGAAAACAAAGGTACAGACTGAAGATTTAACAATCAGATTCTAAACCAGTTCTAGACCATAAATGTCTGTGAGATTTATACTTTTCAAATTATTAACTATTTAAATAAAAAACACTGACATTTCATTCTTTCATATAATCTCTAAGAATAATGACTGATATTAAAATTGTTGTACAAAAATGTCACGTGACTTCCTTAAAAAAAGGAAGACATTAAAGCTAATGTCTTTCTAAACAAACAAGAACCCCAAACATATTTGAAAGATATACTGTGAAGCTAATTTTGTTAATAATACTTTGGTAAGGCTAAACTATTTATTTATCTAAACTGTAGAAGAAAAATCTCAGATATACCATTACAGAAAAAAAAGACTAGTTACCAAGGGTCCAAGAAAAGACCAACTTTTCCAGTCATATTCAACTTTCACGTATGAAAAACATTTAAGAGCACTTTTTTTAATTATACATTCCTCCCTATTGACACGTGGCTCTGCCAAATGTGCAACCAGTGAAGCACGCACAACAAAAGATTCACATAAATCTCACGGAAAGAATGGCAAGTAAAAAAAGTGCTTTAAGACATATGTATTTTAACCATAGCCAGACCCTAAGGAAATCTTTCATATCATAAACATTCATATCTTCATATTTCTTTGTACTTTTTTTCTGCAAAAAAAAGAAATAGTACATTTTTTCCAAAGAGGCAGCTGGATGAAATATAAGCAATTCTCAAGTGAGAGTCATATTCTGTTCCCTGGACATGTGAACTGTGCTTTTATTTATCCATCTTCAAACAAAATTTTGAACTATCCCACATGGTTTCTAACACATACCTACATAAACAACGGTTAGAGCTGTGAAAATAGCAAAGCTCAAAATAGATTTTACCTGTTCCAACCATCTGAAGTTTACGAATCCATTTGAAACTCGCTATGTAAAAAGCCCTTTTACAGCCAAGAAAACTATTTCTCAGAGACATTTGATGTTCAGGATAAGTAGAAAAATTCTCTGTCTGAAGTTGCCATTTCTTCTCACCTAAAGGAAGATTTAGGCATTTCAATAACTCGTTATTAAATTTTAGAATAGTTGTCAAAATTTTAGGTGAGATGAATAGTAGGCTTTGAATGTGGTGTTAAAAGGTTGGTGTCTTTTTAAAAAAGACAAAGAAAAAAAACCAATCCTGAATTCATCTTCTCTCTGCTTCACAACAGAGTCTATCTGTGGAATGCTCATCCTTCGCACAGATTTTTATTTTTTGAATATATTGCAGTATACCTAAATATATTGCATGTGACTCCAAAACTAGCAAAAGAAACTCATCTGCCACACCTTTGCATTGCAAAATGATGTCTGTTAAGGTATTAACTCACTTGAAGAGATTGATCCTGGTAAACTTCCCTGGACCTAAAATTAGGAAATTACATTCTAGCATAGCATATTCCTACTAAAAATCAAATATTAAATATCTCCAGTTGTTTGGGGCCCACAAAATGAAGTTCATATTGAAGTACAAAAAAGATACCATCACACATGACAACTGCTGGCAATGGCACAGTGATACATTGCTTTACAGACTTTTTTAGTCTGACAATTTATTTCTGGATGAACACAAGGCATTGACCAGCCAGATTCAACTCACTAATTTCATATTCTTACAGGTCCATAGCAAACTTCAACTTGTGTAATACCTCAAAGTATCAAATGTCGACAACATAGCAGTACACTTTCTGAACAGAAAGTTTATATTTTTGTTGCTTTTCTGTTTCATGAACTGGATAACCTTTTAGGTATTGTAACACATACTGTGTTGTACAATTACGTATTGTAACGCATATTATGTGTTATGTTTTGTTTAAGATATTAACTTAAATAAAAGTGACACAAAAAGGCCATGGTATAGTTATTTATGCCTTCATTAGTAATGACATATGTTTCAACATTTTTCTCATGAAACATGTTCTTCATTACCTATATTTTTTGCATAAGAGGACGAACATCTGTTCTTTTCTCCTGCAATGTACATAGTTGCATGGCAACTGAGACATTACTGTCCCTCAGTAACTATGCTTGGTAATCTATTTAAAAATGATCTCATGCCAAAAATTGACTGAAACATTAGCCTCCTGTCACATACATTAGCTACTGTTGAGAAAGACTGTTATCTTCTTCCTGTTCTATTTTCCTGTTAACTTTACTGCTACACAACTACACACACAGTCTAGAAAATTCCTCATTTTAATACATCCTTCCTTCTAGAAAGAGCCAGATTAACAGTTTAAATCTTAGAATAAAGGAAAAAAAAGTTAATTCTTTCTGTTTCTTCAGAAGCAATGGATTAACAGATCTTACTTATAGTGCTACAGAAAATATTTTCCTGTCTGAAAACATGGGGCACTTCAGCTAGTTAATAGACCACAGTCAGTGCATCAGCTGAATAGCATGAGGTCAAAACAGATTTCTGTTCTTTAAAACAGAAACTCTGTTAGGTTTTGGAGAGCACAACTTCTTAGCCCAGCTTAGACAAGAGTTGTGACACGACTTACTCCATTCTGCAGACTGTGAAAATTTACTTGCTCACAGTACTTTTATGCCATAAAGACCTATGTAGGCAGTGTCATGGTGCAGAATGGATGAATAATTAATCAAAACATTGAAAAAATGGGACATGACATTTTTCCAGTGGAGGGAGATAACAGTAGCATCTCATCAGAAGGATCTCTGAGGAAACCCATACAATGTCATATAATGCCAAAAGGGGTGAATAATAAAGTGACAAGTTTTGTTATTGATGCTAAGCTACTAAATCAAGATCAAGAGAAGAATTTCAAAAGTTCTAATACTTACAGATTAAATTAATTGTAAACAAATGTAAAATGCTGTACATTGGAAAATGTTACATATGACAGACAGCTCAGATGAAAACTTGGAACTATAATAGATAGATATAAAATGTTTACTCACTACTCAAAAGCTATCAAATATAAGCAATTTAAAGCTAGAAACTTGAGAAAGAAAAAGGAAAAAAAGGGAATTTGTGGCACACTATGAATCCATGGTTCAGTAGTATCCTGATTACAGTGCGCAGTTATGGGTACTGATCCCCTCCATCTGAAAAAGGATTCAAAGGAATTTCTGAAGATGTACAGAGAAAGGATTACAAGAGGGACTTGAAATGGTTTCTGTGCACTGAACAGTGGAAATGGAGGAACAGATGACTAAAGGAGATATGAAAGAGGTCTTCATGGTCATGAGGGACAGTGAGAAAAAGTAGAAATCCATTTGTCACTGTCTCTTACAGAAAAAAGAATTAGGTGATATCAGATGAAACTAATGGATGGCAGTTACAAACAAAAGTCTTCAGATGATGGATAAGTAATCTGGAAAACAGCCAAAGGGGACTGAAGACAACAAATGCTTGTAAGGATTGAAAAAGTAATTTGATTTTTCCTCCAAGGATTTGTTCATTGAGGGCTACTAAACACAAGGATGCATACTCTGGTATGTATCACACATGCTTACCCTGTTCATATATTCTTGCTTTGACACGCGCGTTTGACACTCTTACTGTCATGAGCAAAACAGACTCAACTTGGGGAAAATTATTTTAATTTATTGCAAATTAAAAATAGAGCAAGACAGTGAGAAGCAAAGACAAAGCTAAAACTCCTATCCGTACTTTTCTTCCCAGACTGAAAATTATATAAGACTCACTGATAATATTGAAATAGCATTACTGTATATTTGTCAATTAAATCTCTGCTTTTGGATTGTGACTTTTCCAGAATAGCAGGGATAAAAGCAGAAACACTTTCTAATCTTTAGGTAGGAGAAGTAAAGAAATGCCAGTATGAAAAGACAACCCACTGATATTAATTATGTGGCATCTAAAGAAAGCTTGACTTATTTCACAGTACAAATACAAAACTGAAAGGCCGATAGCAATTTTCAGTTGCTTGCAGTAGTATTCTCCAGTTACATACTCACTAATACTACAGGAATAGATTGAAGGGGGGCAGGAAACAAAAATATGCTTATTGAAAAGTGTATCTTGGAATAGCTGTGGTGGTTTCAACAGGCTGGCAGGGCAACTATAGTTTCAAGTACTACAGAATACCATTTCAAAGTTATTAAGTGAGAGTTACCTTATCTTCCCCATTGATCTTTACATATGCACAGTCACATTCACAACCAATGTCCTGGGCTTTCTCTTCACTCTTTCTGTTCCTATGTACCATGAAATGAATGGAGAAGAGGGAAGGGAGAAACATGGCTGACACACTATACTTTTCTCCTTTGAAACCACAGAGGCTTCCATAGCCATGGACCTTACCAGTGCAGAGCACAACATCCATACTTAGTCCTGTACTTCTAGGAAAGTCAACTTAGATATGAGGTGCATGTTTCCATGCTGAAGAACTCTCTACCCATCTTTTAAGTGCACATGGATTAATCTCATCAATTGCTCAGTCTGGATTTGATTGAACACCAACACATTTGTTCATCTGCTGGATGAGGAATCCTTTGACCGGGTTTTGACCTGAAATCTGACACAAATCAGTTTGTTTACTTATCTGAAGCTGATTAATGTCATTATTGATTGCTGCAGTTTGTTTACTGCAGCTACAATGTCACAGGTTAATTCTACTTGCTGTGGTCTTAACACTGTATCTCCTAAATTATTGACTTTTGTGCATGCTACTCCTTCATTTGTTTACTCACAGTAATAAATCTTCAACTTTGTCTAAAAATAAACAACACAGCACTGCTTAAGTGACTTAAATATCAATCCAAGGCAAAAAGCTTGCATCAAATCTTTACACCAAATAATGTTACTATCTAGTATCCTTCGTACCGTTTGCTTCAAAAGTTATAGTTTACTTTATGACAGTTACCTTTCATGATTCTTACATGACTCTTGTAATAGAAAAGCCTAGTCAAGTTCTCCAAAGTTCTCAAAAAAACCCCTCCAACCTGATCAACAACTTCGGTTTTATTTGAGTATTTCTTGATATTCATGATGACCCCATGATAGGAAACTTTCTGCTCTATAAGTGTCCTGTCATAAAGCTTGTTACATTCAAGACCCATATTATGGGGGCAGGCAAACACACCTCTTGGAGCTGATATCACTAAGCTAAGACAATCCTGCCCTAAACAAAGCTGGATTCTGCACTTTTGTAAAATCCTATTTTTATTTCAATTAAAGTTGTAAGGGGTGAGGAAAAAGAAACATCAAAATTTGCAATTAAATCCAGAGAACTGTGGGAACCTCCATCCCCACAATTAAATATCATCATTCAATAGAACAACGCTGTTTGATATTTGATCACCCAATGCTTAATGTAAAAACTATAGAACTTTTTTAGGCCACAAAACTAAATAGTCCTTATTTTTAAATCGTTCTTGAAGAAATAAATGTTGGCAGCCAATTAGGTACTTAAAACATTCAACAATTCTAGTGTGAATATGACAAAGTATTATAACCTTTTTTTCAATACAACTGTGTTATTTTGAGATTTTTCAGACATTTTGTTTCTGTCCTTAAGGGAAACTAAGCATCTTACTGTACTTGTAGATAATATACACAAGACTGATGCATATATGTCATGAACATCACTGCTTTTAAATGCCATTCTGATTTCTTTACATTCAGAAAAGGTGTCTCTACATATAACTTAATAAAATTATGTAAAGACTTCTCATGGTTTACATTGGCATATCAGTTCAAGAGTCACCACAATGAGTAGTTAATACAATGTATATGTACAAATGCCTGCACTCAGAAAGAATCATATTAATGCAGAATTTCACTGGACACAGTAAAAAGCTGCAACATTGCAAAAAATTTATATGTAAATATTTTACCTAACACATTGATTTGATAAACTGTCAGGAAAAGTCTCTGATGGAGATATATTTAAAGTTACATTGAAAAGCAATTTAACACAGACTATGACTTTTAAAAGTTTAAAAAATTAAGTAGGATTTTTTTTTTTCATGAAATATTTACATTCTAGTAAAAGATTTCACATTGAAACAAAACCACAGAGTTCATTTTATGATTTGTCTTCTTGGTCTAAAAAAGTCAAAGGTCAGAAAAATTAGAACATCCAGAGAAAGTATACAGTATGATCATCTGAGAATAGAGTAAGATTTATTTGAGCCAGGCACCTGTTTCTCATGGCAGCAGGCCTCTCCAGCAGCAGGTCCAAAGTCCCAGAGCTGGGCTGGATCACAGATGGTCTGGAGCACAGGCAGTAAAACTGAGGGCCCTCAACAATTCCTTATGGGTCCTGACCACGAAGGAGCAAATATGGGTTGAATAAAGAGTTTCTATTCACAGACTCTTTATGCTGAGAAAGACAGTTTTCTGGTTCACAGCAGCTTTCCCCTCAGTTTTCCTATTCAAAAAGCTGAATGTGAAAGCAATCACTTTCAAAAAGTACAGAAGTTTTGAAGATGTACTGGAAAAAAACTAAGGACAATGATTCAGCATATGGAGTTGTAGAACCAGTTTTTTAAGGATTCAAATGATTGTTTAAAAATCTGATTATATTCGACAGAGGCACTGAGAAGAAATGAATTGATGCTGGCTATAAGGAGAATGACCAGTGTGGAAAGGAAAAAAAAATATGCCACTGTGCAAATGATATGAAGTAAATTATTATATACACTGATTTTCTTTCAGAAGTATTGTTAAAGAAATGAAGTCATATCTACCACATCATCTGATTTAGAGGCAAAAGAGAAAGTTGTTGAATTCATATGGCAATTGAACAAGTAATATTCAGGGCACTGAGACCAGAAAAAGTAATATGGCAGGTCTCCTTCAGGCTGCTATTTTACCTGCCTCATTAGAAATCAGTGCTAATTGTCTCATAAATAATGTCCATAAATGTGTACTCAAATGGAAGAGTACATTCACTCATTTTCCACATATGTATATTTCATATAAGTTATTTTCCAAAAGCATATTTTCTTTCTAGAAAAGTCATCCGCTTGGCTACACAAAAGTTAGAAACTTCAATTCTACCATATTAATCCATGGTACTAGGGTGATTTCATTAGGTATTCCAATGTATTAGTATAAAGAATTCTAAAAAAAAAATGCTTTTCTAATATTTTGCATCCTTTCATGATCCCATTTGTCCAAAAATTTATTTAAGAAATAAATTTTTTGACCTGACTGTCAAAGCTCTCATTTCTTCCAGTTTAAGTAGAGGTTTCAAATTTTGTTTTACCTTTTTTAGAGTTCAAAACTTGTTATTAATTCTTATCTTCTCAAATGCCTTGAAATCCATTTAACAGTGCACCTGAAGCTCTTGGCAGATTTCAGAAAGCAAATTTAGGTATGGGAATGAGAAAGTGAATAGTATAGAGTGGGGAACATTGTACCCATAAAACCACATATCTTCTGCAGGGATTTATACTGCTGAACATTACTCACTCCTAGACAAAATTTTAGAGGAATAAAATAAAAGCAAATGCATCCTAAAATTCATCGATGGCAATTTTAATAATTTAAGACACAGCATAGTCACACCTGAAAGAAACAGCATTAGTATCCTCAACACCCAAGTTTTAACATCGTATTTAAATAGCTGGTGTTTCCAGGGTAGTTTAGTCAGGCTCTTGAGGGCACTACCAAGACCTTCTATTCTTGTTTGGCCTGTCCCAGGGCATCATTCCACCACTGTCCATGACTCAGGCCCCATCTCATCTTGGACCTTAGAATATACGCCCTTTTCTGATCCCTCTTGGGTCCAGCAGCTCTCCAGGGCCTCTCCTAGGTGGGTGATGGCATGGCCCGGCAGCCAGGGTCTGTCCCATCCCCAAGCAGGAGCAGGGCAGCCAGGGGCACCAGGACCCAGCCCTTACATCAGGCACCTCCCTGGGGACAGGGACAGGCTGCGGGTGGGCCAAGACTTAAGCCAGCAGGTGCTCTTGCCTCAGCAGAGCCCATGGTTGGTCAGGGCAGGGCTGTGGGGAGCTGGAGTCTGGCCCTGCTGCTTCAGGGTCACCTGGGAGGGGGCTCACAGCCCCGGGGAGCTGTCGTGGGGCCCTGAGCTGTGGGCAGGGTGAGGAGAGCCCGGGGGGCTGGGCAGGCACAGGGAAGGCTGGCAGTGCCCTCGGGGCCGTGACCTGTTGTGCAGTGAGCTGAGAAAGGTGCTTCTCCAGGAGCCGTTCGGAGAAACAGTCCTTTAAGACTTCGAAATCCCCTCTGGAGTCAGTTCCTCCTTCAAGCAGTGAAGCAGATTGCTACAGAAGTTACTGTCTAAATTACGATGCAGCCAGGTGCTGAGCACAACGCCTGCTATTGCCGTCATGATGACTTTTTACACATTTGGTCTATAGTTCCGTAAATTAAAATCTGCTGCCACTAGAGGAAAGCACAAGGCTCTATACCGCCCTAACAACTCGGGTGTCAGGACCTGCCTGTCTGTAATACTTTGTCATGTGTTAGAGTTATTTTAACTGGACTAATAAAAATTCTGTCTGTATTTTCATTAGACTGTTACCATGTTAATTTACTAACAGTACATTGCTGGCTCCCCACGTTGGTTGGATCCCAGTTTTGTCCACAACAAGATTATGAATTTATCAAATGCAATTGACTTTCTTGGGACCTCTAATTTTTAAATTTAATGTAAACACACTACTGAATCTGAGCATAAGTGAATGCAAAAGCTGACATCCAGCCAGCCTAACAGATTACCAGATGGCTTTCAACTTTAGACACCTCACATGATAGTTGTCTTAAAGTATTTGTCTAAATGTATATAGAGTCAATATTATTGTTTTTGTTAGGGATTAAAACAAAATAAAATTTTTAAACCATCTACCTGGCTTTTAGAAGTCTCCTGAATGCAATAAAATTAGCATTCATCAGAACTATATTTCCTGAAAAATACTTAAGATATTCAGTCAGATATACTGAAAAACTGATGTTTTTTCTGGGTTCCATAACTCATAATTCAGTGCAAGAGTTTTACTGCAATTCCTGTATGTTCACATTAACATACAAATATATAAATATTTCAGGCGTAAACAAGTAAAATCTTCAGCACTTTCCTCCTCCACTTGATAATCTACTTTGATAAGAAGCATACAACAATTGGTCAGCCCTAGAGTGACATCTACAGTTCAGAAAGATACACAAGAGAAGCAAAATTTACATCCACTCATCCAGTTTTAACTAGGAAACAGGGACGTACTAATGATGAACTGATGTATGAATTTGAGATATGAAAAAGGAATGCATGATACCACAAAGCATCCTGATCGCCAGGCAGCAACAGAAATATTTTAGCCCACCTGTCAATTCAACCCTTCTACCACTAGTTTCCCATCTCTACTATTTGCAAACAGTTCTAGAAAGTTTTAATCCTGGAATAGGAAAGGAACATCAATCAAGTGCAGTTGTGAAATGATCAGATCTGGAGAAAGAAGTCATCTGATGAAGCAACCTTTTTGGATAGAAATTAATAGGAAGGACAGCTTGAGCGGGGATGCAAAAGACTAGTACAATTATTGTGAGATAACAAAACTTTACATCATCCCTATAGATAAAATTCCATCATATGGTGATTGTACAGTCTACAGTACTTGCTTCAATGATAATAAACAGAACAAAGAATTTTAACCCTAAAAACAAAGTTCTATTTTATCCTTCTAAATGCACTGTACTACTTAAATGCTATTTTATGGGATAGATGTGTTTTCAACTCATCAAATTAAGTGAACACCAAGAAATTAAAAAATTTAGTAGACCAAAAAAGTCTAGAGTTGGCTTTAATATTGGCTTTAATCACAGTAAACAAAATAATTCCACCCCAGGTCAATGTTATCATTGGTTTATTAGTTCTGATGGTATTTCTGGAATTTCATATATGACATTTTAACTCTGAAGACTTCATCAATGGAATAAAACTTAGTCTTATTCAATGGATTAATATGTTGACAGTCAGAAGAGCTGAAAAGTTTATTAGAATGGTCATTAAAAGACAAGATGTGCTGGTTGTAAGGCAATTTTTGACCTGTTTAGACACAATAATGGGTGATAGTTAATTTGGAAATATGAGTCTATTATAAGGTAACTAACTTTGAAATATGATTCAGAAATTATATTTTTCAATAATGTCATGTTGTGAACAGTCAGCAAAGTACTTTACTTACTGGAGATTGATAATCTCTTTGCATGTTCTTAGACCAGTTGTAGGAAACATGACCAGGACCTATCAGAAGACTTCTGTAAGAAAAAAGATCAATAAATTTTCCTTTAGGAAGATTCTATGGCTTGCTGTTAATGCTTTCAATTTCACTAGTCTTTAAGTATCTAGAAATGTAAAATTATTATTTTTGTGTACCAATGATATTTTCTATGTACAAGGATTTTTAGAAGGATATGAGAAGGGAGAAATAATTTTAGAAGGCACAAGAAAAGATAGGAGGAACAACAGGGGAAGTACCACAATATATAACACATTTGCAATAGACTTACTGTCTCTGTCAGAAAAGAACAGATGGTTTAAAAAGACTTAAATATTGTGGACATGACAGGTTTATTTTTACTGAACACAAGCTGAAGATAAAGCCAATCTGAGTGAAGGTGAAATGAAAAACTAATGCATGATAACTGCTTTGTGTCATTTTAACAACTTAGCGCATAAATGTCTATGTGTCCTATCAATCAGAACAGATACAGGGCTCATTCATTAACATGTGGTCCACTCTAAATTAGGTAGGTTGCAACAGTTATCATCTTTAAAACCAACCAAAAACATCTGTATGGAAGAAAGTATTTCTGTTCCTGCAATGATGATGGAGACAATGGGTACAAATTGAAATATGGAAAATTCTTTTTAAACATGAGAAAAAGCCTTTTAATGATGAGTGTGATGAAACACTGTAATCGGTTGTCCTCTGAAGCTGCAGAGTCTCCATCCTCAGAGATACTCAGAACCCAACTAGACACAGTCCTGCACAACTCTAGTTGACCCTATTTTCAGCAGAGGTCCCTTCCAACCTGACTCTATGACTTTGTAATATAAAGCATTTTTATTGGACAGGGTAGTGTTTTAGTCAGATGAACACTTCCAAAAATTGTTATGTGTGTTTAAGTGTGTAACCTTTACTTCTCAGATTTAGGAAGGGTATATGAAAAATTGTCCATCCAATAATCAAATCAACCAAGTGTGTCTTCCAACAACTGCAATTTTAGAGGATGTTAATTTAGATGTTTTTCTGGATACCTAGATGTATTAAATGACTTTTCAAGCTATTTTTTTTAGTCCAGTTGGGGGTTCATGCTCCCAGAAGAGTGATGAGAACACGTAAATGATTTATTTTAATAGGATCTGTTTGGCACAGATATAAAAAGATATTTTTGATGTATTGCTCAGTACTATTCCTGCAAGATACAGTCCCTGGGGTAAATGAGAAGTACTCCAGAGAAGCTGAAATCCACTTTACATAGCTAAATGCTTGGAAATGGTATATTTCTATAAAAAGCACATACAGTCATGTATTTCCAATAACCCAAGATGTTTCCTATGTCTCTGTAGAGGAAATTCAGTTAAATAGATACTACTGAATTTAACATAAAATCATGTGGGACTAGGGCATCTCTACATTTCAGTGGAGAAAAATAGCTACTGATAAAAAGCTACAGAGAAAACACACAGGAAAGCATTTAATGAAAAATCTATGAAGAAAATTAATGGTTTCTTTTCTGTGGGTTATTTTGTTGGCTTTGTTGTGGGGTTTTTATTTATTTTTAGCTTAACCTATTTTAAAAAAAAAATTACAATTATGATTTGTCTTGAAAGCTATCAGAACACATACTCATGATGATCAAGAATATTTTTCAGCTAGAATAAAACTACAAAATGTAGTTAACAATTTATTTGATTTATAGGCATCATATTTTACTTAAAGAAACAATTTTTTCTCTAGTTCTAGTGAGGTAAATATAAAAGGTCTCAGATTCTGCTGTATTGTGAACAAGTAATGTCAGTTTTCCAGCAATTATAACTAATTTGTTTTGTTAATTTTTAATGTGACAGAGCATTCCCACAAATAATCATTTGCCTCTGAGAATTAATGATTATTAACACTGTAATTACATATTTCATTAACATTTATATTCCAGCGACATGGAAAAGCATACACTTCCTACCCTTGTGTTATATATAAAGTACTTTTTAAGCCTTAGAAAAAAATAGTGTTGGATTATTTGTTTGTTTCTGGTACTATACATTACCTTACATTTTTAAATCATAGTGAAAGACTGAAGCATATGGTAGGCTGTCCACAGATGTTTTTTGAATCAGTCATGTCAAGCACTGAGCAGCAGTAAAACCTTTGGGAAAAAAAAGATACACAGTCATACTAAAGATTACAATTCTCTTCATAACTAAGACAGACAGCAAACTGGTGATAATTATTTTTCAGGAAGTTCTCCCATATTTCTTTGGTTCAGTGTAGAAAAGCAAGAAGAAAAGTGTAAACAGCAGCCAAAAGTTGAACAGTTTTTGTTCCTATTAGAATCTGGATCAAGTACAAGATCTTTATACCAGCTCTGGTTTTCTAGTGTACTCTAAAGTAAATGTTAAAAAAACTGTCAATATACCTTGCCTGGTCAACCTGATAACTTTCTACTATGAAATGAGTCATTCAGTGGGATGAAAGCAGTAGAAGTTCATTATCTGGAGTTTAATAAGACTTTGATACAGTCTCCAATTGCTATTGGAGGCTCCTTACAGTCTGGGCCCATCTTTTTCAAAGCACCTTTTTCTCAGGCAGGTGTTCCACACTGGTTCCATTACTCACCACTCCCTCCATACTGGTAATCAGACTCAAGCCAGCTGTATGGGCAAAGACAATTCTAACACTTGTCAGACCACAGCGGGAGTGGTCCAGTTTAGTACTCACCACACCAACAAGGACCTTAGCAAGCTACAGCAAATGCCTAAGAGGCCCAGGTGAGCAGGCAGAAAGAACACAGAATATGCAAGGAAAGTCTCTCTGGAGAAGAAAGGTCAGTGGAGCCACATCCTGCTCTCTTCAACTGTGTTTCACCATCCTCAAGAGGATAGCCAGACTCTTCCCATAGCTTCACACTAAAGTCACAAGAAGGCAGAAAAGATGCTCAGGTGACATCTGTAACCAATGGAACACAAAGGACCAGCTGGATCTCCTACCACATGACAAAAGACAGGGAAAAGCCCAAGGGCCACAAAGGTTTCTTTTCCCTCAGCTCTTGCTGGAACAATCTGCCCTTGGACCGCCCAGGTGCCTGCACTTGGTAGCAGAGCTGAGGTGAGCAAGAAGCTTGAACTTCCTCTCTTAAAAGGACGTTCAACTCAGAAAACAGTACATGCTGTGATAGCAGAGCAATACCCATTTTTGTAAGATTAAAAGATGTGCATATCTTCTAATAGAATCATAGAATCATAGAATCATAGAATTGATTGGGTTGGAAAAGACCTCCGAGATCATCGAGTCCAACCCTTGGTCCAAATCCAGTCCATTTACTAGATCATGGCACTCAGTGCCACGTCCAATTGCGTTTAAAAATCTCCAGGGATGGTGAATCCACCACCTCTCTGGGTAGCCCATAATAAGCTATTAATTAGAAGTAAGCCCTGCAAATATTAGTTTTCAGACACATGACATGGTAAAATGTATCAACTGCATGCATATAACTCGTAAGATTGTAGTGAATGTTATCTAGTAAAGCAGTAGTTGCCCTGTAAAGGATAAATCTAAGCATTTTTCTGTGTGATCAAGACAGTATTTTCCCCAGTTTTCATTAAATAACACTAAATTTTGATCTCATTTATAGTAAGAAGGCAGGTCTCTCAAGCACAATACGGATGAAATACCATAGGCAGAAGTTTCTCTTTAAATGAAAGTTATATTCTAATACCACATTAAATGCACATAAATCCGGTAAACACAAGTTGTAAACACCTTAAATCAGCCAACTTAGATAGCCATAGCAGTCCATCCCAAACAAATTTCAGCTTTCACGAGGACAAACAGCTGTATATTTCCCCTGCTTTTTATTTGTCAGGAAAAAAAAGCAGAGTCCAGTTACCTCATGTGTGTCAAACTGAGACTGTAGCACAGTTGTGTTGGTTTGTAATTCTCCTTTAACAGGACACATGTTTATCAGCACTGATTTATACAAAGCATTTGTGTTGTGCTTTTGAATATTATTCTGCATCTGTTATGCCAGTCATATATAAAGTCAAATAAGTCTTTGTTTGATTCAAAACAACTTCCATTGAAAGATATATAAGCTTTGCCTGCACAAAGACTTACACTGTTAGCAACAAATAGAAGTGAGTGTTATTTCTTCCTGTGAATATCTTTTAGTAAAATCTGTGCCTTCAGCTAGTCATTGTACACAAAGGCCACAAGATGGTAGTCTTGCCTCGAAAAGTTATATGATGATTTATTTTTTTTTAACCTAAATAAGGAGTTGGCTGTCTCCTTTGTGACACCAGGGATTTTCAGTTCCTACCTGAATTCTCTGAAATAGCTTCTCATGTGAAAGTGAATTAAAGTAAAGAGGGTTTAAATCTCAGCTCAGTTTTCATCATGAAAGCGTGATATATTTCTAGGAAAATTAAGAAAGTTCACAGATGAGTACTAACTTTAAAAAATTCAGAAAAGTGGTGCAGTTAACAAATAACCGTTGTATTTTAGTAGGGTAAATCATTTACTTACAGGAAATTCATTGTAATTTTGTTCCAGGACTGATTATTTCTTGTGATAAAAATAACTATGGTGGATTATCTGTAGTAATCAACTACTTCAGTTTCCATGGTACCAAAAATATACTAAGCATCAGCAATTTTTAAAATCTAGGAGAGGTTTACAAAGGTTTGATATAATCAAGCGCTTAATTGGAGAATTATAATACCAGTTTACCGGATCCATAACTTATTCTAGCAGTTGCTAGTTCAAACTAGATACAGTAGCTAATTTCTTCTTCACATGTTTTGACTATTAGGTGATTGAGTTTTATGCAAGGAAAGGTGGGGTTTAAAATACATTGTTTGAAGTAAATATATAAAGCCAATTCTTACATCTGTATCCTAAACTATCTCCCTAAAGGTAGATGGGTTTTGAAGGGGGAAATGGATAAGTAAACATCCACAAGAGCTGGATTTCTGTTCTGGTTCCTAATTCCTCAAAGCTGATCTAGCACTTTGAGCCAAAAGAAAAGTTTATTTTCTTTGCCAAAAGTGGTAGTACACTCTGTGATGAACAGTTATTTCAAGAATATGGTGAAAGAATGAACCAAGTTTTCTCCCAGAAATCCTGTGATACACTAATTCATTGAGATGCAGACACATGAATTACCAGGTGCACAGCTTTTCTTGACAAATCTTGGTTTTCAACTAATGTAGACTTTAGCAACTATTCTGTACATCCTTTGCCTTCATCTCTTTATGTCATATTTTACTTTTGATTGTATCATTGATGGTCTTGTTCAAAAAGTCATTTTTTTTCATGTATTCAGGTTTTGATAACAATCATCACAATGAGTATTGAGAGATTTTTTTTTTGAAATGGTAAACTTTTGGTATTTGAAATAAAAAATTTCGAATACTTTCAAGTAATGCTGGAAAAATCATGTTTAAGTTTCAGATGAGAAATAAGAGAACTTTTGGATTACTGGTGGCCCCCAGCTAATCTATGACATCAGAAGTATTAGCTATTCTGTCACACTGAGATGATATGGTTAGAAAGGATTTACAATTCTGTGGTGTCCAAGAGCTAGCATTCTACCACTTCTGTCAAAGAAAAGACTCTTTTCTCAGTGCTCCTGGCTAGGAATGAACCAAAGGCTCAAAAGGTAGCACAGCTTTGCAGAATTAGGAGATTTAAGTAGCTAGCTACAGGATACAGCAATAGAATTTACTCTTATATCAGTTTATTAAATTTAAAGCAAATGTTTGGGGTTTACTGGGAGATTTATGGCCTGGTTCTCCCTCCCTCCAGTAGTTTTGCACAAAAACTACTTTTCAGCAAATAATATATTCCAGAAGCATACTATTGGGAATTCACTCAACAACCCTTTGGAGTTATTTTGCCATGAATATTTTGGGACATATAAATGAAACCAAGTAATTATGGAATAACTTTACACAAAAAAAAAAAAAAAAGCTATGTATAATTCCTTTAGGAAAAGACATTTTATGTGTGAATAATTATTATACCCCATCCCCCAGGAAATTAGACTTAATGTGTCTTTTCTAAGAAAAAGATAGTAAATGTTATAAATAGCAAAAAGGTGTGTAGCAGAGTGTTTTTCATCCTTTAAATCAAAAAAATGAATAAGATGTTTTTTGTGTGAAAGAGATGTCTACAGAAGCAAATAATATGGCACAATAGTAGTTAATTAGTAGATCAAAACACTTAGTTCTGAAACTTCAACATATTGACTGCATGAAGTATGAAGGTTTTCACTTTTAACGAGATTTTACTCTGCTGGACAATAAACAAAATTGTTAAATGTTGCCTGCAGGACCGGTTTTTGGGCTGAACACTCACATTTCCACCAGTATTTGAAGTACATTTGAAGCCCACCTGGAGCTTGTAGTTTAGTTTCCTTGGAAAGAAATCCAGTTTATACATCCCAAGGTTCACAGGCATCTCCTCTAAGACAAATTTTTAGAAGTTTCTATGAAAAGCTTCATTTTAACCTGTGCTTTCATATGACCTTTAAGTTAAAGTAGAAAATTAAATCTGTAGAAAATTTATAGCTTTTTTAAAAAATAAATTTATTTATGAAGAGGATTTTTGTACTAAACTATTTAATCAAGGTTTTGTTGTTTTACACCAGAGCATAAATATGATGTTCATATATCTTCACATGCACATACACACATTCTCCGCTTACTCAGATTAGAAATCCTCTAGTTACTTCTACCTATTCATCATTAATTTATGAAACCAAAATTAAACAACATACATTCCAAAATTTGTTCTCCCTCAGCTTCAAGTAGAGCAGAGTGACCATCGCTATTATTGCCAGCTCAGAGAGCCACGAGTGTGGTCTTACTTGAGATTCTCTAACAGTTTATAGCATCAGAATTAAAGGTCATACATGAGTTTACACAACAGAGGTCACTTGTCACATAAATGCTCTGTTGTACTTAACTGTGGTACAGTCACTAGTAGCTAAACTGTCTTTTCTCTCGCATATAATTTACTTTTCAAAGAAAAGGTCTTATCTTTTATTATTGATGTTACGAGTACTTCTTTCATTTTTATTATGCCTCAGTAGCTCAACTAATAGCAATAACTGCTGCTACATTTTTACATTCAG